TAGGCAGGTCCGCTTCCTGGTGGCGGGTCAGATACCTGTAGGCAGGGTGTCCTCCATGGAGCTCTGTCGCTGTTGACTATCGTATTGAATGTGAATTATTGTCTTTCAACAAGACCGTACTGACAGCGGTGGGATTCGAACCCACGCCTCCGAAGAGACTGGAGCCTAAATCCAGCGCCTTAGACCGCTCGGCCACGCTATCGTGTAGCACAGCACGCCCACTGACCTGCTGCAGTGGCAGGTCAGCTACCTCAGCTACATGTAGGCGGGTCAGCTACTTGGTGGGAGGTCAGCTACCTGTAGGCGGGTCAGCTAACCGGGTCCACTTCCTGCCCCCAGGAAGTGGACCCGCCTACAGGTAGCCGACCCGCCACCAGGTAGCGCACCAGGAAGCTGACCCGCCTACATGTAGCTGACCCACCTGTAGGCAGGGTGTCCTCTGTGGAGCCGTGTCGCTGTTGAATTTCGTATTGAATGTGAATCATTGTCTTTCAGCAAAACAAGAGTGACAGCGGTGGGATTCGAACCCACACCTCTGAAGTGACTGGCGCCTTAATCCAGCGCCTTAGACCGCTCGGTGCCGCAGTGGCATGTCAGCTACATGTAGGCAGGGTGTTTTCCGTGGAGCTCTGTCGCTGTTGACTATGGTATTGAATGTGAATTATTGTCTTTCAACAAGACCGTACTGACAGCGGTGGGATTCGAACCCACGCCTCCGAAGAGACTGGAGCCTTAATCCAGCGCCTTAGACCGCTCGGCCACGCTACCGTGTAGCATAGCCCGCCCACTGACCTGCCGCAGTGGCAGGTCAGCTACCTCAGCCACCTGTAGGTGGGTCCGCTTCCTGGTGACAGGTCAACTACCTGTAGGCAGGTCAGCTTCCAGGTGGTGGGTCAAGTACATGTAGGCGGGTCCGCTTCCTGGTGGCGGGTCCGCTACCTGGTGGCGGGTCAGCTAACTGGAGGTGGGTCAACTACATGTAGGCGGGTCCGCTTCCTGGTGGCGGGTCCGCTACCTGGTGGCGGGTCAGCTACCGGGTGACGGGTCAACTACCTGTAGGCAGGGTGTCCTCCGTGGAGCTCTGTCGCTGTTGACTATCGTATTGAATGTGAATTATTGTCTTTCAACAAGACCGTAGTGACAGCGGTGGGATTCGAACCCACGCCTCCGAAGAGACTGGAGCCTTAATCCAGCGCCTTAGACCGCTCGGCCACGCTATCGTGTAGCAGAGCCCGCCCACTGACCTGCTGCAGTGGCAGGTCAGCTACCTCAGCTACATGTAGGCGGGTCAGCTACTTGGTGGGAGATCAGCTACCTGTAGGCGGATCAGCTAACCGGGTCCACTTCCTGGGGGCAGGAAGTGGACCCGCCTACAGGTAGCTGACCCGCCACCAGGTAGCGCACCAGGAAGCTGACCCGCCTACATGTAGCTGACCCACCTGTAGGCAGGGTGTCCTCTGTGGAGCCGTGTCGCTGTTGAATTTCGTATTGAATGTGAATCATTGTCTTTCAGCAAAACAAGAGTGACAGCGGTGGGATTCGAACCCACGCCTCTGAAGTGACTAGCGCCTTAATCCAGCGCCTTAGACCGCTCGGTGCCGCAGTGGCAGGTCAGCTACATGTAGGCAGGGTGTCTTCCGTGGAGCTCTGTCGCTGTTGACTATGGTATTGAACGTGAACTATTGTCTTTCAACAAGACCGTACTGACAGCGGTGGGATTCGAACCCACGCCTCCGAAGAGACTGGAGCCTTAATCCAGCGCCTTAGACCGCTCGGCCACGCTATCGTGTAGCACAGCCCGCCCACTGACCTGCCGCAATGGCAGGTCAGCTACCTCAGCTACCTGTAGCTGGGGCAGCTACATGTAGGCGGGTCAGCTACTTGGTGGGAGGTCAGCTACCTGTAGGCAGATGCGCTTCCTGGTGGCGGGTCAACTACCTGTAGGCAAGGTGTCCTCCGTGGAGCCGTGTCGCTGTTGAATTTCGTATTGAATGTGAGTAATTTTCTTTCAGCAAAATCGTTCTGACAGCGGTGGGATTCGAACCCACGCCTCCGAAGAGACTGGAGCCTTAATCCAGCGCCTTAGACCGCTCGGCCACACTATCGTGTAGCATAGGCCGCCCGCAGACCTGCCGCAGTGGCAGGTCAGCTACCTCAGCTACCTGTAGGTGAGTCAGCTACATGTAGGCAGGTCAGCTACCTGGTGGCGGGTCAGCTACATTTAGGCGGGTCAGCTTCCTGGTGCGGTACCTGGTGGCGGGTCAGCTACCTGTAGGCGGGTCCACTTCCTGCGGGCAGGTCAGCTACCTGGTGGCGGGTCAACTACATGTAGGCGGGTCCGCTCAGGTAGCTGACCCGCCACCAGGTAGCGCACCAGGAAGCTGACCCGCCTACATGTAAGTGACCCACCTGTAGGCAGGGTGTCCTCTGTGGAGCCCTGTCGCTGTTGAATTTCGTATTGAATGTGAATCATTGTCTTTCTGCAAAACAAGACTGACAGCGGTGGGATTCGAACCCACGCCTCCGAAGAGACTGGAGCCTTAATCCAGCGCCTTAGACCGCTCGGCCACGCTATCATGTAGCACAGCCCGCCCGCTGACCTGCCGCAGTGGCAGGTCAGCTACCTCAGCTACCTGTAGGTGGGTCCGCTTCCTGGTGACAGGTCAACTACCTGTAGGCAGGTCAGCTTCCAGGTGGTGGGTCAAGTACATGTAGGCGGGTCCGCTACATGGTGGCGGGTCAACTACCTGTAGGCGGGTCAGCTAACTGGTGGTGGGTCAAATACATGTAGGCGGGTCCGCTTCATGGTGGCGGCTCCGCTACCTGGTGGCGGGTCCGCTACCTGTAGGCGTGTCAGCTAACTGGTGGTGGGTCAACTACATGTAGGCGGGTCCGCTTCCTGGTGGCGGGTCCGCTACCTGGTGGCGGGTCCGCTACCTCCGTGGAGCTGTGTCGCTGTTGAATTTCGTATTGAATGTGAATCATTGTCTTTCAGCAAAACAAGACTGACAGCGGTGGGATTCGAACCCACGCCTCCGAAGAGACTGGAGCCTTTATCCAGCGCCTTAGACTGCTCGGCCACGCTATCGTGTAGCACAGCCTGCCCACTGACCTGCCGCAGTGGCAGGTCAGCTACCTCAGCTACCTGTAGCTGGGGCAGCTACATGTAGGCGGGTGAGCTACCTGGTGGCGGATCCACTTCCTGGTGGCGGGTCAACTACCTGTAGGCAGGGTGTCCTCCGTGGACACCGCCATGTCGCTGTTGAATTTCGTATTGAATGTGAATTATTGTCTTTCAGCAAAACCCTTTTGACAGCGGTGGGATTCAAACCCACGCCTTTGAAGTGACTGGGGCCTTAATCCAGCACCTTACACCGCTCGGCCACGCTGTCACGTAGCACAGCCCACCCACTGACCTGCCGCAGGTCAGCTACCTGTAAGCGGATGCGCTACCTGGTGGCGGGTCAGCTACCTGTAGGCAGGGTGTCCTCCATGGAGCTCTGTCGCTGTTGACTATCGTATTGAATGTGAATTATTGTCTTTCAACAAGACCGTAGTGACAGCGGTGGGATTCGAACCCATGCCTCCGAAGAGACTGGAGCCTTAATCCAGCGCCTTAGACCGCTCGGCCACGCTATCGTGTAGCACAGCCCGCCCACTGACCTGCCGCAGTGGCAGGTCAGCTACCTCAGCTACCTGTAGGTGAGTCAGCTACATGTAGGCAGGTCAGCTACCTGGTGGCGGGTCAGCTTCCTGGTGCGGTACCTGGTGGCGGGTCAGCTACCTGTAGGCGGGCCCACTTCCTGCGGGCAGGTCAGCTACCTGGTGGCAGGTCAACTACATGTAGGCGGGTCCGCTTCCTGGTGGCGGGTCAACTACCTGTAGGCAGGGTGTCCTCCGTGTACACCGCCGTTGAATTTCGTATTGAATGTGAATTATTGTCTTTCAGCAAAACCCTTTTGACAGTGGTGGGATTCGAACCCACGCCTTTGAAGTGACTGGCGCCTTAATCCAGCACCTTAGACCGCTCGGCCACGCTGTCATGTAGCACAGCCGACCCGCTGACCTGCCGCAGGTCAGCTACCTGTCAACTACCTGTCAGCAGGTCAGCTACCTGTAGGCAGGGTGTCCTCCATGGAGCTCTGTCGCTGTTGACTATGGTATTGAATGTGAATTATTGTCTTTCAACATGACCGCACTGACAGCGGTGGGATTCGAACCCACGCCACCGAAGAGACAGCAGCCTTAATCCAGCGCCTTAGACCGCTCGGCCACGCTATCGTGTAGCAGAGCCCGCCCACTGACCTGCCGCAGTGGCAGGTCAGCTACCTCAGCTACCTGTAGCTGGGGCAGCTACATGTAGGTGGGTCAGCTACTTGGTGGGAGGTCAGCTACCTGTAGGCGGATGTGCTTCCTGGTGGCGGGTCAGCTACCTGGTGGCGGGTCAACTACCTGTAGGCAAGGTGTCCTCCGTGGAGCCGTGTCGCTGTTGAATTTCGTATTGAATGTGAGTTATTGTCTTTCAGAAAAACCCTTCTGACAGCGGTGGGATTCGAACCAATGCCTCGGAAGAGACTGGAGCCGCTGACCTGCCGCAGTGGGGCAGCTACATGTAGGCGGGTGAGCTACCTGGTGGCGGATGCGCTTCCTGGTGGCCGGTCAGCTACCTGTAGGCAAGGTGTCCTCCGTGGACACCGCCGTGTCGCTGTTGAATTTCGTATTGAATGTGAATTATTGTCTTTCAGCAAAACCCTTTTGACAGTGGTGGGATTCGAACCCACGCCTTTGAAGTGACTGGCGCCTTAATCCAGCACCTTACACCGCTCGGCCAGGCTATCGTGTAGCACAGCCCGCCCGCTGACCTGCCGCAGGTCAGCTACCTGTAAGCGGATGCTTTTCCTGGTGGCGGGTCAGCTACCTGTAGGCAGGGTGTCCTCCACGGAGCTCTGTCGCTGTTCACTATCGTATTGAATGTGAATTATTGTCTTTCAACAAGACCGTACTGACAGCGGTGGGATTCGAACCCACGCCTCCGAAGAGACTGGAGCCTTAATCCAGCTATCGTGTAGCACAGCAGGCCCACTGACCTGCTGCAGTGGCAGGTCAGCTACCTCAGCTACATGTAGGCGGGTCAGCTACTTGGTGGGAGGTCAGCTACCTGTAGGCGGGTCAGCTAACCGGGTCCACTTCCTGCCCCCAGGAAGTGGACCCGCCTACAGGTAGCTGACCCGCCACCAGGTAACGAACCAGGAAGCTGACCCGCCTACATGTAGCTGACCCACCTGTAGGCAGGGTGTCCTCTGTGGAGCCATGTCGCTGTTGAATTTCGTATTGAATGTGAATCATTGTCTTTCAGCAAAACAAGACTGACAGCGGTGGGATTCGAACCAAACCAAGAGACTGGAGCCTTAACCCAACGCCTTAGACCGCTCCGCCACGCTATCGTGTAACACGGCCCGCCCGCTGACCTGCCGCAGTGGCAGGTCAACTACCTCAGCTACCTGTAGGCGGGTCCGCTCCCTGGTGGCGGATCCGCTTCCTGGTGGCGGGGGTGTCCTCCGTGGACACAGCCGTGTCGCTGTTGAATTTCGTATTGAATGTGAATTATGGTCTTTCAGCAAAACACTTTTGACAGCGTCGGGATTCGAACCCACGCCTTTGAAGTGACTGGCGCCTTAATCCAGCACCTTACACCGCTCGGCCAGGCTATCGTGTAGCACAGCCCGCCCACTGACCTGCCGCAGTGGCAGGTCAGCTACCTCAGCTACCTGTAGCTGGGGCAGCTACATGTAGGCGGGTCAGCTACTTGGTGGGAGGTCAGCTACCTGTAGGCAGATGCGCTTCCTGGTGGCGGGTCAACTACCTGTAGGCAAGGTGTCCTCCGTGGAGCCGTGTCGCTGTTGAATTTCGTATTGAATGTGAGTTATTTTCTTTCAGCAAAACCGTTCTGACAGCGGTGGGATTCGAACCCACGCCTCCGAAGAGACTGGAGCCTTAATCCAGCGCCTTAGACCGCTCGGCCACGCTATCGTGTACCATAGGCCGCCCGCAGACCTGCCGCAGTGGCAGGTCAGCTACCTCAGCTACCTGTAGGTGAGTCAGCTACATGTAGGCAGGTCAGTTACCTGGTGGCGGATCAGCTACATGTAGGCGGGTCAGCTTCCTGGTGCGGTACCTGGTGGCGGGTCAGCTACCTGTAGGCGGGTCCACTTCCTGCGGGCAGGTCAGCTACCTGGTGGCGGGTCAACTACATGTAGGCGGGTCCGCTCAGGTAGCTGACCCGCCACCAGGTAGCGCACCAGGAAGCTGACCCGCCTACATGTAGCTGACCCACCTGTAGGCAGGGTGTCCTCTGTGGAGCCCTGTCGCTGTTGAATTTCGTATTGAATGTGAATCATTGTCTTTCTGCAAAACAAGACTGACAGCGGTGGGATTCGAACCCACGCCTCCGAAGAGACTGGAGCCTTAATCCAGCGCCTTAGACCGCTCGGCCACGCTATCGTGTAGCACAGCCCGCCCGCTGACCTGCCGCAGTGGCAGGTCAGCTACCTCAGCTACCTGTAGGTGGGTCCGCTTCCTGGTGACAGGTCAACTACCTGTAGGCAGGTCAGCTTCCTGGTGGCGGGTCAACTACCTGTAGGCGGGTCAGCTAACTGGTGGTGGGTCAAGTACATGTAGGCGGGTCCGCTTCATGGTGGCGGGTCCGCTACCTGGTGGCGGGTCCGCTACCTGTAGGCGTGTCAGCTAACTGGTGGTGGGTCAACTACATGTAGGCGGGTCCGCTTCCTGGTGGCGGGTCCGCTACCTGGTGGCGGGTCAACTACCTGTAGGCGAGTCAGCTACCTGGTGACGGGTCAACTACCTGTAGGCAGGGTGTCCTCCGTGGAGCTGTGTCGCTGTTGAATTTCGTATTGAATGTGAATCATTTTCTTTCAGCAAAACAAGAGTGACAACGGTGGGATTCGAACCCACGCCTCTGAAGTGACTGGCGCCTTAATCCAGCGTCTTAGACCGCTCAGTGCCGCAGTGGCAGGTCAGTTACATGTAGGCAGGGTGTCTTCCGTGGAGCTCTGTCGCTGTTGACTATGGCATTGAATGTGAATTATTGTCTTTCACAAGACCGTACTGACAGCGGTGGGATTCGAACCCAGGCCTCCGAAGAGACTGGAGCCTTAATCCAGCGCCTTAGACCGCTCGGCCACGCTTTCGTGTAGCACAGCCTGCCCACTGACCTGCCGCAGTGGCAGGTCAGCTACCTCAGCTACATGTAGGCGGTCAGCTACTTGGTGGGAGGTCAGCTACCTGTAGGCGGATGCGCTTCCTGGTGGCGGGTCAGCTACCTGTAGGCAAGGTGTACTCCGTGGAGCCGTGTCGCTGTTGAATTTCGTATTGAATGTGAGTTATTGTCTTTCAGCAAAACCCTTCTGACAGAGGTGGGATTCGAACCCACGCCTCCGAAGAGACTGGAGCCTAAATCCAGCGCCTTAGACCGCTCGGCCACGCTATCGTGTAGCATGGGCCACCCGCTGACCTGCCGCAGTGGCAGGTCAGCTACCTCAGCTACCTGTAGGTGAGTCAGCTACATGTAGGCAGGTCAGCTACCTGGTGGCGGGTCAGCTACATGTAGGCGGGTCAGCTTCCTGGTGCGGTACCTGGTGGCGGGTCAGCTACCTGTAGGTGGGTCCACTTCCTGCGGGCAGGTCAGCTACCTGGTGGCGGGTCAACTACATGTAGGTGGGTCCACTTCCTGCGGGCAGGTCAGCTACCTGTAGGCAGGGTGTCCTCCGTGGACACCGCCGTGTCGCTGTTGAATTTCGTATTGAATGTGAATTATTGTCTTTCAGCAAAACCCTTTTGACAGCGGTGGGATTCGAACCCACGCCTTTGAAGTGACTGGCGCCTTAATCCAGCACCTTACACCGCTCGGCCAGGCTATCGTGTAGCACAGCACGCCCACTGACCTGCCGCAGGTCAGCTACCTGTAAGCGGACGCGCTTCCTGGTGGCGGGTCAGCTACCTGTAGGCAGGGTGTCCTCCATGGAGCTCTGTCTCTGTTGACTATCGTATTGAATGTGAATTATTGTCTTTCAACAAGACCGTACTGACAGTGGTGGGATTCGAACCCACGCCTCCGAAGAGACTGGAGCCTAAATCCAGCGCCTTAGACCGCTCGGCCACGCTATCGTGTAGCACAGCACGCCCACTGACCTGCTGCAGTGGCAGGTCAGCTACCTCAGCTACATGTAGGCGGGTCAGCTACTTGGTGGGAGGTCAGCTACCTGTAGGCGGGTCAGCTAACCGGGTCCACTTCCTGCCCCCAGGAAGTGGACCCGCCTACAGGTAGCCGACCCGCCACCAGGTAGCGCACCAGGAAGCTGACCCGCCTACATGTAGCTGACCCACCTGTAGGCAGGGTGTGGAGCCGTGTCGCTGTTGAATTTCGTATTGAATGTGAATCATTGTCTTTCAGCAAAACAAGAGTGACAGCGGTGGGATTCAAACCCACGCCTCTGAAGTGACTGGCGCCTTAATCCAGCGCCTTAGACCGCTCGGTGCCGCAGTGGCAGGTCAGCTACATGTAGGCAGGGTGTTTTCCGTGGAGCTCTGTCGCTGTTGACTATGGTATTGAATGTGAATTATTGTCTTTCAACAAGACCGTACTGACAGCGGTGGGATTCGAACCCACGCCTCCGAAGAGACTGGAGCCTTAATCCAGCGCCTTAGACCGCTCGGCCACGCTATCGTGTACCATAGGCCGCCCGCAGACCTGCCGCAATGGCAGGTCAGCTACCTCAGCTACCTGTAGCTGGGGCAGCTACATGTAGGCGGGTCAGCTACTTGGTGGGAGGTCAGCTACCTGTAGGCAGATGCGCTTCCTGGTGGCGGGTCAACTACCTGTAGGCAAGGTGTCCTCCGTGGAGCCGTGTCGCTGTTGAATTTCGTATTGAATGTGAGTAATTTTCTTTCAGCAAAATCGTTCTGACAGCGGTGGGATTCGAACCCACGCCTCCGAAGAGACTGGAGCCTTAATCCAGCGCCTTAGACCGCTCGGCCACACTATCGTGTAGCATAGGCCGCCCGCAGACCTGCCGCAGTGGCAGGTCAGCTACCTCAGCTACCTGTAGGTGAGTCAGCTACATGTAGGCAGGTCAGCTACCTGGTGGCGGGTCAGCTACATGTAGGCGGGTCAGCTTCCTGGTGCGGTACCTGGTGGCGGGTCAGCTACCTGTAGGCGGGTCCACTTCCTGCGGGCAGGTCAGCTACCTGGTGGCGGGTCAACTACATGTAGGCGGGTCCGCTCAGGTAGCTGACCCGCCACCAGGTAGCGCACCAGGAAGCTGACCCGCCTACATGTAAGTGACCCACCTGTAGGCAGGGTGTCCTCTGTGGAGCCCTGTCGCTGTTGAATTTCGTATTGAATGTGAATCATTGTCTTTCTGCAAAACAAGACTGACAGCGGTGGGATTCGAACCCACGCCTCCGAAGAGACTGGAGCCTTAATCCAGCGCCTTAGACCGCTCGGCCACGCTATCGTGTAGCACAGCCCGCCCGCTGACCTGCCGCAGTGGCAGGTCAGCTACCTCAGCTACATGTAGGCGGGTCAGCTACTTAGTGGGAGGTCAGCTACCTGGTGGCGGGTCAGCTACATGTAGGCGGGTCAGCTACTTGGTGGGAGGTCAGCTACCTGTAGGCGGGTCAGCTAACGGGGTCCACTTCCTGCCCCCAGGAAGTGGACCCGCCTACAGGTAGCTGACCCGCCACCAGGTAGCGCACCAGGAAGCTGACCCGCCTACATGTAGCTGACCCACCTGTAGGCAGGGTGTCCTCTGTGAGCCCTGTCGCTGTTGGATTTCGTATTGGATGTGAATCATTGTCTTTCTGCAAAACAAGACTGACAGCGGTGGGATTCGAACCCACGCCTCCGAAGAGACTGGAGCCTTAATCCAGCGCCTTAGACCGCTCGGCCACGCTATCGTGTAGCACAGCCCGCCCGCTGACCTGCCGCAGTGGCAGGTCAGCTACCTCAGCTACCTGTAGGTGGGTCCGCTTCCTGGTGACAGGTCAACTACCTGTAGGCAGGTCAGCTTCCAGGTGGTGGGTCAAGTAC